GCAATGACTAACCTACTTTCTATATCTATGAATTTGACTATTTTGGACATTTCATATAAATGAAACCATCCAGTATGTGGTCTTTGGTGACTGGCTTCTTATACTTGGTATGTTTTTGTGGTTCATACATATTATAGCATGTACTGGTACTTCATTTTCATTTTATGGCCAAAGATTCCATGGTATGGATATATAACATTTTATTTATACATTAATCAGTTGATGGCCACTTGGGTTGTGGTCACTTATTGGCAATTATGAATAATGTTACTATCAATATTCATATATACATTTTTGTATGGATATATGTTTTTATTTGTCTTGAGTCTATTTCCGGGAGAGGAACTGCTGGGTCATACAGCTCAAACTTAATGTTTAACTTATTAAGGAACAGCTAAACTGTTTTCCAAAGTGACTACGTCATTTTATAACCCCATCAGCAATCTGTAAGGGTTCCAGTTTCTCCATATCCTTGTCAACACTTGTTAGTATTTGACTTTCTGATTACAGCCATGCAAGTGGATGTGAAATGACATCTCACTGTAGGTTTGCTTTGCATTTCCCTAATGACTAATAACATTAAAGTTTTTTTCCTCCTGCTTCTTGGCATTTGTAAGTCTGCTTGGGAGAAAGTCTATACAAATCATTTGCCTACCCTTAGGTTCTGAAATCTATTTTGTTTTCAAACACATAGTTCTATGTCAACTGGTTACATCCCGCATACTAGGTCGGAATTTTTTTTCTCTTCAGCTCCTAGAGAAAGCTGGGTTTTTATCTATTGTGGGAAATTCAGTGAGGCTTTGAAAAAGTTAGCATTTACATTGAAGTCATGTGATACGGTATAAATTGCAGATTTTATTCAGTACATGTAGACTCTCTGAGGAGAAATCTTATTTAAAAGCAAAGGAGCAGCCAACCTACAGGACAAGATAGTACTAAAGTATAGGTTGGTTTCCATCTTCTAGGTTCTCAAGCTTTTTAAATATTAATTTTAAGATACAAGGTACAAAGCTTTATGAATACTGTTTAAAAATATATAAGCAGGCTGAGCACAGTGGCTCACGCCTGTAATCCTAGCACTTTGAGAGGCTAAGGCAGAAAGCCTGCTTAAGCCCAGGAGTTCAAGATCAGCCTGGGCAACATAGTGAGACTCCTGTTTCTACAAAAAAGCAAAAAACAAACAAAAAAACATATGATGCTTTTAGTTAAAAATAATGCTTTCAATTTTTTACACATATTTAATATTTTAGTTAAAAAATAATGCTTCTGATATCTTATATCTCTTTCCACAAGTGATACTGAACATAGCCTATGTAATATACTTTGCTTGAAATGTGAAAGCCAAAGTCAAATAAATGCTATATCTAATTGTGGAGCCCAACACTATTTCATTAGTGAAGATGCTAGAGGTAGGCTGAGGGACAAAAAAAAGGCAATATAATAAAATGGAAAAAAAATGTTGACTTCAATAACTAGAGTCAATGTTCTATCATAGAATAAATCACTTAACCTCTCTGGACCTGAGTTTACAAATCTGGGCAAGAAAAGGTAGAAAGCTATATAGATTTCTGAGGACTATCTCAAAATCCTATTTATCTACAATGACTAAAGAGCATAGCTTGTCTATGGCAATTTCTAGGAGCATATGTCCATGAAAGATAAGTCTACTTAAGTAAGATAGACCCCAACCAGAAAGTCTACTTCACCTTACTAAGTAAAGGTTGTCAAGAGAGACACATTCCAATCCCCCAAACTGTTTAAGCGTGTTTGCTGTTTTGTGTGGATGTGTGACTCTAGCATTTCCCATTTTTATGGTATTTAACAAAATAGGTTATGTTCCAAATGTCTGGAAAACTATGGAGCAAACAGTTGTGCTACCCTTTTAGTTACTTATCTAAAATCTATTCTCCACTTCTTCCTTAGTTTAACATTAACTCGATTTGAGACAGCAATATGGCTAGGTCCACAGTGATGAATTGTGACTGGCCTAAGGTCATCATTGCAACCCTGTTTTCAGCTTTTCCTGCTTCCCTTGCAGCTACTCATGGCCACGTAAACATATATATGTCCATGGAACCCTCTTCATTCCGGGAGTGTCTCTAAAGGACTACTTTCCTGGAGAGTAGGATGGCATAGGCTAACTTTACTACAAATAGTACACATAGATGAATGCATTTCCTGACCAGTAAAGTCAGAATATGTTATCTTACAGGCATTTCTTTCATAAGATATTTACTCTAATTTCTTTCCTTTTTTTTTGAGACAGAGTCTCACTCTTGTCGCCTGGGCTGGAGTGCAGTGGTGCAATCTCGGCTCACTGCAACTCCACCTCCTGGGCTCAAGCAATTCTCCTGCCTTAGCCTCCTGAGTAGTTGAGATTACAGGGGTCCACCACCATGCCCAGATAATTTTTCTGTTTTTAGTAGAGATGGAGTTTCACCATGTTGGCCAGGCTGGTCACAAACTCCTGACCTCAGGTGATCGCCTACCTTGGCCTCCTTGGCAGAGGAGTGCTAGGATTACAGGCATGAGCCACTGTGCCTGGCCTCTAATTTCTACAAATAAATAAAAACCTATGCAGTCATTTATGTATTTAGTCTTACCTTGTGCCCATTTTTGGGAAAAACTTAAAAGGAAAAATCTGTTGGTCAAGAATGTGCATGTTTATAAACCCCTTGTCTATCATAAGCCTAGAGAACTTGGGAGTTAGTGAAATATTCATGTTAATCAACTTTTAGACATCGTTGTGTTGTCAAGTAAAAGCTGGAATCCAGTATTCTCAATTCTGTGTATTATTATCACCAGCGTTTAAAAAGAAAATTACAGGTCCTTCTACATCTATCACATACCTCTTCAGATTCAATAGGTCTAGTGGTGGCTTAGGCATCTATGATTGCTTTTTTTTTTTTTTTTTTTTTTTTTTTTTTTTTTTGCAACCTCTGCAACACTGCAACCTCTGCCTCCCAGGTTCAAGTGATTCTCCTACTTCAGTTTCCTGAGTACCTGGGATACAGGCACATACCACCATGCCCAGCTAATTTTTGTATTTTTAGTAGAGACAAGGTTTCACCATGTTGGTCAGGATGGTCTCGATCTCTTGACCTCGTGATCTGTCTGCCTTGGCCTTCCAAAGTGCTGGGATTATAGGTGTGAGCCACCACCCCTGGTCATCTATAATTTTTTAAAGTCCTACAGTTGATTTTGATAGACAGCCAAGGTAAAAACACTATGTTTTATAAATCACAGACACTATGACTCTTCAAGATGCTTAGGTGAGTATGGCCTTAGGGCACGGTGAAAATAACACTCTCACAGGTTTTGGGTCTCAGGTCTTGGTTCTGGCACTCAACAGCTAGGTGACTTTGAGCAGATTACTGAAAACTCTTTCAGCTTTAATGTGGCCGACTTAGGATAACTTTTGCTCTAGATGTAAACAAGAAGGGTTTATAAAAGCACATGGAAAATTATAGAGTTCAAAAACTTTTAACGTAGTATTTAATGTTATTTTCCTCTTTATGGAGTGTCCTTTCCCTTTCTTGCATGCTGTAAAAATCTTACCGTTCCTTCCAGAGTACCAAGTTCAAATCTCTGAAACCTTCCGTAAACCAACTGCACAGAAATATTACCTCATCAGGGTTTCTGCAGCACTTTGTACACTAACCCTAGCACACAGATAGTGATAAACGACAACCTCTTGTCCTCTTGTTGGTCTAGTGTAAGCGCCTACGGAATCCGGGGGTTGGGGAGGGATCTTAGTCTCTTCAGCATTCCCTGGGCCTAGCAGTGTTAGTTGAGGTGAACCAAAACAGCTATCTTCTCATCATTGAAAACAGAAAGAAATTGCCTTTTTAGAACCCAATTACCTATTTTTCTCTTCTTTTTCAAAAGCGGAATCTTTTCTTCAATCTACTTTTTACTTGTGGAATCCCAATCTGACAAGATTGAGGGGTTGAGGGATGCTGAGATCTGCCCTGGTAATCACAACACTTATGATAACACCGGTAATAATCTATTAGGGCCTGTACCTAGTAGGTGCCTGGCTACCCATATGACAGACATTTATCTAAGTCTCTCAACCACCTTATAAAAGGTGTACTATTATTACCCCACCGTATTGCTAGATAACAGAGGTTCAGAGGACTTGGGTAATTTGCTCAAACAACGTTACAAAGGCCAGAACTAGAATACGGATTTCACTCCAGAGCACCAAATCTGAACCTCTCCACGCACCTTCTTCATCTGGAGATACCTGGATGATTCAGTCCCTTTAGCGTGGTTCAGGGGCAAGTAACCTCGAGTTCACCTGGGCTCTCATTTGATAGAGATTATGGTAAACTGTCACTGACCAGACGGGGAGGTGGAAGCATCACCACCAGAACCATTTCCTCGTGATGCTCCTGTCACTGGGAAGCGTCCTATCTGTAACTTTATTTTAAAATTTATTTTTAGAGACAGGGTCTCATGGTGTCGCCCAGGCGGCAGCGCAGTGAGACACAGTCACTGCAGCCTCGATCTCCCAGGCTCAAGCGATCCTCCCACTTCAGCCTCCTGGGTAGCTGGGGCCACAGGGAAGCGCCAACGCACCCGGTTAATTTTCACATTTTTGTAGAGGTGGGGTCTCGCTCTGTTGCCCAGGCAGGTCTCGAGCTCCCAGGCTCAAGCGATCCTCCCGCCTCGGCCTCCCTAAGCACTGGGATTGCAGCCGTGAGTCACAGCGCCTGGGCGCTGTAACTTTAAATGGCCCGCGAGTATTCCGCGGCCCAACCCTGCCCGCCTCACCCGGTCAACGGAGGACGCCCGTCAAAGTCTGGGAGCTGCAAGCGCGCGGGCGAATCGTCCGCGCGCGGCTTTTTCTTCATGGCAACGGGGGCACACCTTGCTTCGCGGTTCCCAGAAGTCCTTCAGGCCGCAGACCTTTCTGCCCGCCACACTCCCGCGGGTCCTTACGGATCACCTCCAGCCACCTTGTCTCCTCCCGGAGCCCGCCCGCCGGAAGTGACGGCCCGGAAGCGTCTCTCCTCCCACAGGGGGCGGGGAAGGAAGATGGCGGCGCCCAGCAGCCGGTGAGGAGAGCGGACACGGGGTTCCCGGGGAGCGGCCAGACTGATGAATTATGGCCGCATCTCCGCACACTGTCTCTTCACGCCTCCTGACAGGTACTGTACCCGCCTTGGGCACGACCTGGGGGGAAATTCTCCTCTTATTGTTACGTGCGAGACCATGGTTCCGGCTGGCTGCAACCTTGGGGAGCCCTTGGCGAGGCTGGCTGGCCACCGGTGCGGTGGAGAAATGACCTCTGGAGTAGCTTGGAGTGAAGAAGCCGCGGAACCAGGGTCCAGTCTTGCGCTGTGGCTCTGGTGGTCCACACCGCCTCCTCCATCCGGCTTCTGCGGAAGATCGGTGTCCAGTGCTTCTTTCAGTTTTCAGGTAGCGGAAGCTGGAGGAGAGGGCAGAGTAGAACCTTGGAGATCCATAACCCTCTTGGCTTATCAGAACCTCAGCTTCTAGCCACTGGCTTTCAATGACAAGGAACGTACTTGGAAGCCTTTTTCCAATAGAAAGGGTAATAGTGACAACGGTGATGATGATGACAGTTGCAGACAGCGGATCACAGTCCCCCTCTGACTTTTGTTACTGTACCGCCTGAGTGGCCCTTAATATAATCCTTTCACTTGAAGGAACTTGTGACAAATGTATATTGGAGCTGGAATGCTCTTCCTGGACTCTTGGTAATGTCTCAGCTCAAATGTCACCTTTTCAGGAAGGCCTGTATAGAGACCACCTTATATAAATTAGGCCCCCCTACCTCCTTTTCACATCATTCCATTTATTTCTTAAATTATGGTTAGTACAGCCTGTACTTGTTTGTTTATATACTCGTTTATTATTTGCTTTTCCCAGCTAGAATATAAACCTGGTGATGGCATGGACAGTGGTCATCTCTGGGTTACCTCTGTATTTCCGGTGCCTGGAACAGTACTTACTGTACAGTGTTTGCTCTCAGTAGTTATTTGTGGATGGATGAAATTTGTCCCCTTGAAGATATTAAAGAGGACGTTAGGAATTGTCTTGCCCCAGTATTTTAGTTGGTAACTAATGGTTGTATGAGAAATATGTTGCCCATGGTTCCTATTAGAGACCAGATAAGGGAAGCCAGGGACTGCCTTCTGATCACATCCCAGAAACTTTTTTCACTTGTCACCTGCCACACACAAGCTCTCTGCACCATCTGGTGATGTTGACACTGTGACTCCATTACACTGCTTTCTTCTGTCTTATAATGTTATTTTATGGCTCTGTTCTGGTCTGTGTGATCCCAGGGCAGTTTGTTTGACTTTTCTGGAATTGAGTTTACTCATCTATAAAATGACGTCATTGAACTAGGTGATCTCAGAGGTCCTATTTGGTTTGTAAAGTGGAGAGGCGGTATAGGTGAAACAGAATTGGCTAGGGTTTGGTAATTGACGAAGCTGGGGGATAAGTAATGGGAGATCATGATACTCTTCTGCTTTTTCACATGTGATATTCCATAATGAAAAGTCGTTGTTTTTTAAAGGCCTGTGATTCTTTTTTGAATCACTTGTTACATTCTACTCTCTCTGACTGTGAATGTTCTTTGATCCTGATCCTGGGCACTCCATTCCCAGAGAATTCATCTTTTCCTAGTGCTTGAAATTTCTCCTCTGTGTGGAGGTTTTTCCAGCAGGCACCCTTCAGATTAGCTGTTTTTCTGCCTTTCCATTCTATATTGTCAGCTATAGGACAATTCTGCTTGACTGCTGTGAATTCTCCAGTTCCAGTAGGTGGGCTGCATATGACCCACATAGTTTGTTGCCAGATCAGTCTTTGCAGTGGTGGTATGGAAGGAATTCATAGACAGCTTACTCCCTGAAGCTATGAACATAATTGCCAAAAACTCTGCTAGTAAGTGGCCTGTATAACTTCCTGTGATCCACTGGGAAGATCTACTAAGAGAGCTTGGTGGAAAAGTGGCACGGTGGGACAAGGTGGCAGAGAAGGTAAACTGGGACAGTGTTAGTGATGGAGTAGTATCATGCCTGATTTTCCTTCTAAAAGTTCTAAGTATTTTATAGCCATTTAAAAACTGTCATCACTGGCTGGGTGCAGTGGCTCACACCTGTAATCCCAGCACTGTGGGAGGCCAAGGCAGGTGGATCACTTGAGGTCAGGAGTTCAAGACTAGCTTGGCCAACATGGTGAAACACCCTCTCTACTAAAAATACAAAAAATAAACACAAAATTAAATTTTAAAAAATTAGCCAAGTGCGATGGTGTGTGCCTGTAACCCCAGTTATTCAGGAAGCTGAGGTAGGGGAATAGCTTGAACACAGGAGGCAGAGGTTGTAGTGAGCTGAGATCCTGCCACTGCACTCCAGCCTGGGTAACAGAGTGAGACTCCATCTCAAAAAATAAAAAATGCCAGCATTTTTTTTTTTTTTGAGACGGAGTTTCGCTCTTGTTACCCAGGCTGGAGTGCAATGGCGCGATCTCGGCTCACCGCAACCTCCGCCTCCTGGGTTCAGGCAATTCTCCTGCCTCAGCCTCCTGAGTAGCTGGGATTATAGGCACGCGCCACCATGCCCAGCTAATTTTTTGTATTTTTAGCAGAGACGGGGTTTCACCATGTTGACCAGGTTGGTCTCGATCTCTCGACCTTGTGATCCACCCGCCTCGGCCTCCCAAAGTGCTGGGATTACAGGCTTGAGCCACCGCGCCCGGCACCAGCATTTTTTAGCTACTTGTCTTCTTACCTAATTTTAGAAGTCCTAAAATCAGGAACCAGTGTTGATGGTAAATAATAGATATGGTCACATGCTTCCAGAATTTTGATGTGTCTATTGTAATCTTTGTGTATCTTCAAACTCACATTTGTTTACACAGGGCTGAAATGTCTTTCAGTTTCTAGGCACTGATTCGTAGAAATGTGACATGGTTTAACTAAATGAAATTCAGTTTCCTAGCTGTTTTTTCTTCATACTACCATTCTGTAAAATACCAGTTTGACCTACTTAATTTTTCTTTTTTTTTTTTGAGATGGAGTGTCACTCTTGTTGCCTGGGCAATCTCAGCTCACTGCAGCCTCCACCTCTCGGGTTCAAGCAATTCTCCTGGCTTAGCCTCCCAAGTAGCTGGGATTACAGGCATGCCCCACCATGTCTGCCTAATTTTTTTGTATTTAGTAGAGATGGGGTTTCACAATGTTGGTCAGGCTGGTCTTGAACTCCTGACCTCAGGTGATTCCCCCACTTATCTTGAGAGTTATTTTCTAAGGTGATTCCAAGGCAAAGACATTTTCATGTTTATGGGAAACAAACATGTCATAATTAACTCAGGTTTGAGACTATAATTTCAGTGAAGAAGTGATTTCTCTCCAGTCTAAGCAAATAGTCATGTATTTTTCGGGATTGTGATAGTTCTCCTTCCCACAGTCCAGGTGTGCTGTGTGGGCTATCTGGTCATCAAACATTATTTCCTTATTATATAAAAGTGCTCTGTGAGCTATTGTATAAAGGTGGTGAGTAAAGAATTCTTGCCATCAAGGAACTAAAAAATTAGATGATGGGAACAATTTGCATGAAGAAGTGTCATACAACACAGCATAAAGTGATAGAGTAGTTGAAAAAGACAGAAAATTTGACGGAGTGGCGTGCAAACAAGGAAACAACAGAAGCAGGAACAGATTGTGAAATGTGTAGTGTTTTTAGTGGAGGGTCATGGGTAATGTTGCTTTGGTGAGTTGTGTGAGTAATATGTATTCAGGGCTGCAGGAAGAAAACTGTTGCCTCTGAGAACATGGATTAGAACGGAAAGGAAGTAGCGAAGGCAGGATGACTAGCTTGAACGCTACTGTCATTACCATGGTCTAAATGTAAGATGATAAATGTAAGAACATCAGTAGAAGTGAAAAGAAGTGGGCAGATTTGATCTGTATTTCAGAGTAGATTGAAGTGGATGGTTGTTAAGTGTTAATGGGAGAGTTCAAGATGTTCCTGAAGTCTTAAATAGGTACTGATTTTTTGTGCAGTAGGAAACAGAGTGGATTGGTTGAGAATACAGTGCTCTTAAAGACATTTTGCGATCCATCCATATGGAGATACCAAGAGAAGAGATGGAAATAGACCCAATGACTCTAGAAATGATTTGAAGATCAGAATTATCCTATAGTTACCTTTGCTGAGGGACAATATTTAGGGTTCAGAAAGAGGGACCGTGACTACCTCAAAGTGGCATACATAGCAAGAAGAGACACCATCTGCAACTGAGAAGTAGAATGCAGAGAACCAGGAACACTTAGTGTCATGGAAGCCATCGGGAGAATCTGTGGTGTTATATGACTTGTCAGAGGCTTGAATAGGATGAGGACCAAGGCAGAAGCATTGGATTTGTTGATACTTGAGAGAAGTTTCAGTGGAATGATTAAAAGCCAAATTTAGATACAACAAAAATAGCTTATTTCTGGCTAGATTGATAGAGTGATACTTTATGGAGAACGGTTTCTTCTTCCTTTTTGTTTTACCCTATATAGTTAAAATATTAACCTGAAATATATATATATATATATATATATATATATTTCAATTTATTGTCATTTATTTTTTAAAATTGTGCTTTTTATTTTCTACTTTTGAAAAAGTGACCGAACTGGTGGTTTTATATTTTATTAAAAAGATCTGTAGCGTGGTCATTTCAGCATGTAATGTAATAAAGCATAGTGATCCTGAAATGAAAATTTTCTCTGGCCCTTCCGAAGACTTAGACTGACTTAAACAATGAGTAGGGCTGGTAAATTGCATTATTCACAAATCTGGATTGGATTATTTCAAAGCTGTGACCCATCACACAGTGTAGCACTTACCTTAGTAGCTGGCTTTGCTTCTGGGGAGGTGTAGTCATCATTTGATAAGAAGTATGGATCATTTAACCTTTCTTCCACTTTTCTCTCTATTGTAGGTTGGGTAGGAGGATGTGTCTGGTATCTTGAAAGAAGAGCAATACAGGAATCCCCTCACAAGTTCTTGCATCTTGTCAGGAACGTCAATAAGCAGTGGATTACATTTCAGCACTTTAGCTTCCTCAGACGCATGGTATGTTTAGAAGACCATTCTTACTCTGTTACTTTTTGCCTTTTTCTCTGTATGAGGGAACTTCAGAAATTCCTATTTAATAAAAGTTTTAAGAAATACTGTTGGAAAAGAACTTTTATTTAGCGTCCTTAAATTTATCCAGATCTCTTGTTTTGATTATTCTTAACCGAAACCAGAATAATTCTGGCGTTTGAGGTTAAAAGTATGATCCTGAACTTATTGATTAAGTTTAGTGAAAGACTGGAAACGTGTGGCATATTTTGACCTGGCCAAAATTGGGAAAAGCTGAACTGTTTGTTATATTACATCTTTTAAAATTCTTTGGAGTTTTGTGACTTCATCAGTAATAGGGAAATAATTGCTTTAAGAGTGCTACCCTCTTATTTTCTTAAATCAGCAGTACATTTAAAAGTCTTTTGTAACAGTTGCACTTCCACATAAATTCAAACAATTTGACAGTTTTTATAATTTTCTAGGCATTTTATAGTGGGCATTGATAACATACATCAATTGGGTTGACTTTGTGAATTTGTGGGCAGTATGGAACTTGCTATTAATTGCCAGTGAGGGCATTTGCCATTTTCTTAAATGGAAAAGGGTCATAGAACAGCAAAATGATGGCTGAAAACTCATAGTGCCAGCCTGAAAGAATGGCAAAATTGTAATTTAATATCCTATTTTACATTTCTCTCATCTTTAATTTAAAACTTAAAATTTCAGTAAAACTCGATATATTGATATGAGATTTACATTTCTAGAAATGATCAAGCTTTTAAAGTTGGGAGTCAAGGATAATGGTGGATACTTAGAGGAGAAATTCAAATATGTATAATTCCCTATTTTATGTAAATGGAACTCTTCATTCATGAGTTTGTAATTCTTTATTAAGACTAATATATGTAATATCAAATCTTTCTGATATAGTGGAGAAGGCACTTAACTGGCTAGTAAGTGGTAGAGACCATGTAACTTCACAACCTATGTTCTGTCTTCATCCTGCCCTGCCATAAAATCATTCAGCCCTGGATTATGCCCTACCACTGAGCCCCTTTCTATGCTGTTTGTCTGAGAACATGGAAAGTCAACAGGTTGACTTGGGCTCTTTTTCTTTCTTTTTTTTGTGGATGTGAGAGTCGTTCAGGCTCAAGTACAATGATGCAATCACAGCTCACTGCAACCTCAATCTCCCAAGCTCAAACAATCCTTCTGCCTCAGCCTCCCAAGTAGCTGGGACCATGGGCATGTGCCACCATGACCCACTAACTTTTTTTTTTTTTTTTTTGGTGGAGACAAGGCTTTCCAGTGTTGCCCAGGCTTGTCTTATACTCCTGGGCTCAAGAATCCTGGGATTACAGTTGTGAGCCGCTGTGCCCGGCTGGGCTCTTGATTACTGAAAATTTTTTTATTGTATTTGGAATGTTAAGTCTCCAGAGACAATTCTGGAGAAGATAAATAACTAAATTTATTTTTCTTTCAAGGATTGTGTATTTCTAGGCTTATCTAAACTACAGAAATTGAAAATCATTACTGAGGACTGAATTTTATTCTCCATATCTCTTAGTATAGTGATTTCCATATAGCACTCTATAAATATATGATTAATTAACAGATATTAAAGCTGTGGGAAAAGCTTTCAAATAATGTAATAGTTGGACTGATTGAAGATGTTGCTAAACAATCATTTCAGAGCATTTGGGGCCTTGGTTTTATAGGAATGTGTGCTTTTTTGTTTAGTATGTCACACAGCTGAACAGAAGCCACAACCAGCAAGTAAAACCCAAGCCAGAACCAGTAGCATCTCCTTTCCTTGAAAAAACATCTTCGGGTCAAGCCAAAGCAGAAATATATGAGATGAGACCTCTTTCACCACCCAGCCTTTCTTTGTCCAGAAAACCAAATGAAAAGGAATTGATAGAACTAGAGCCGGCCTCAGAAATTGAAGACTCAATAAATGTAGGGAAAGAGACAAAAGAGGAAAAGCAGTGGAAAGAGATGAAGCTACAAGTGGATGAATTGCCAGGAATTTTGGCTCGACTATCCAAAATCAAACTCACAGGTACTTTGTTTTTCTGGTATACTTAAATACTTATTTGAAACTTTATTTTTAGTTAAATACAAAGCTTATTTTATGTACCACCCAAAAAGAATAATTTGGAACTGCAGGTGCTGTCTTAGTATTTTTTCCTTTCTTCAATTTAATTGGGATTTGAAATTGAATTTTCTGAATTCTATTTACACATTATTATAAATAGTATTGCATTGTAAGTATTGTACTTAAAATAGTCACCCTTTTCCTTTGCAATTAAAATGGGATGTTTTTCCTGCTTAATTCCTTGTTTTTGGTGTTTTTATACCTGCTGTAAAAATGCAGTAAGATAATAAGTTTTGTCGACTTGAGTTCTGGAATGGGAAGAATTGCACTGCTGGGTTTGATAGGAACCCACAGTGGCCACTGAGTCTCCCAGTTCACTTCTGTGTTTTGCTCCTTGTAGAGCCTCTGGGGTTGTCACAGGTCTGTGGGAGCTAGGGTGCATTTTTCCTGAAAGGAGATTTGGAACCAGATTTTTTTTTGACCTAATTCTAGCTCAGTATGCCAAATTTTATTGCCATAATTAAGTCATTTGGTTGTCACAATCACCCTGTAAGTCAGGCAAAGCATCATTATTATCCCATCATATAGCTAAACTTTGACATAGCTTTTTCTGGGCTAACACTGTTTAGAAGGTATGTTCTGGGTCATTCTGCAGCTTGGGGGAGACCTGGTTTACTATTCTTAAATGAGAGTAAAGAGACTGATTGTAATGTGAATAATAAGATAAAGCCAGGTTCTTTGAGGATGGAAAATGGTAAATAATGTTGGAGTCAGATGAGAAGATGAGACAGGGAGGCTTTTGAGAGTAGAGAAGGATCAGAGAAATAGTGGTAAGGTTTTTTTTGTTTTTTGTTTTTTAAAGAGACTTGAGCCTGAAATCCAGGGCAAAAGGAGGTAACTAGACAACTTCTCTCCTTAGTGACCAGCCTTACTTAAAGACAGTTGTTTTTGAAGAAATGATGAATAGACACGGGATTTAGTGAAGGAGCTAAAGAGTCTTAGTAATACTTCACGTAATATAACTCTAAAACAGTGAGATGAATTCTATGTGATCACCTTGAAAACATGTCTCAGTCGTTTGTGATAGCTAAGCAAGGAATCAGCATGTTTTTAAAGAATTTCTCTTTTGTCGTTTACACAGGTGGTCTGAGTGTCATGCTGCTGACATGTTAAGAATGACTGTAGATAAGTTAGGTTTATAAGGATGCCACCCCAAAATTGAGGCCTCTCAGCCTGTAGGCATCAGATGTGGCCTCTGTCAACAGCAGGAGCTTCTTTGTGTGCTCCATCACTTAGCACACCCACCCTGCAGATTAGCTCTCCTCTCTTATCATCCCATTTCTGTCAGTTAGAACATTCTTCACTTCGATCAGAGGAGAAACCTTAGAACCAGTCTTCTTCACTTTTTGCTCTCCATTCTCCCCTTCGTCTTTAACTTCTGTCATGAGCAGAATCTTTTTTAAGGCCTATGAGATTCGCTTTCCCATCCTCATTTCTGAAGATGCCCTCCTAGTTTAGGTTGGAAACACAGGAGGCCATTGGTTTTTGCAGCAGCTCCTAACTGTTCTTTTCTCTTGTTCTCTGCCCCGCTTACCCTGCAGTTTATGCTGCCCAGGGTCACCACACTAACTTTCTGAAAACATTGCTTTTGATTTTCCTAACCTACACGAGTCTATAGTTTTTCCATATTACCTTCTGTTTCAACCCTGCTTAGTGTTAAAGGAACACTGTAACCTGGAATGATCAAACTGTTTCTCTGAATCTACCTTTTTTCTCTTTCCCTGTCCCTCCACACCACTAAAGTCAAGCACACTTAAGTTCAGATCTTGACTCTGATATTTATTAGCCAGTGAGACTTTTGGGCAGTTCCTTAACTTTATTGAGATGATTTCCACATCTGTAAAGCAGGAATAATAATAGCTTATTTAAGAATTCAATCAAATAATTAATGCATAGAAAGCATCCAACAGCATGCTTGACACATGGGAGACACTCAAGTTCCCGAAAGGTAAATATTTGATTGTCTGCTTAATGTGTAGTATATTTCCCCTAAGGTGGTTTTTGCCTGTGGAGGGAATTAAGGTGAATGAATATTTACTCAGCAGGGGAGATGAGGAGAATTGTAAGTAGAGGGAAAAGTCTTTGCAAAAGCAAAGAAGTCTGAGTTATCCTGACACATGCAAAAAGGCAGTTTGACTATGAGTAGCAAAATACGACTTGAATGTCATAAAGGAGAGGTGCTTATTAAGATTGAAGAGTTAGGCAGCGGTCATGTTGTCATGTTGACATATATTTCAGGCTAAAGAGTTAGATCGTAGCCATGGAAAGTCCTGGAAGCTTCTTTGCAGGGATATGATCACTTTGTGTTTTAACTTATTTATTTACCTTTTAAGTATTTTAAAATTTAGATTAAATTAGTATAGGCTTATTATAAAAAATAATTCAAATAATACAGAAGCATATGTTTTAAACTGAGAAAGTATCCTTTCCTACCATTCTAGATCAAAACTCCTGTGTGTGTGTGTGTGTGTGTGTGTGTGTGTACAACTTGCCATTTTCTTTAAGTACAACTTGCCATTTTCTTATGACAGTATAGTTTTCACTGATAATATTCACTGCATGCTATTCCATTGTATGAATCTGCCATTATTAACTAGTCCTTTACAGGTAAACATTTGTGGTATTTCCAGGTTTGGCAACTTGCCATTTTCTTATGACAGTACAGTTTTTGCTGACAATATTCACTGCATACTATTCCATTGTATGAATCTGCTGTTATTAACTAGTCCTCCACAGGTAAACATTTGTGATATTTCCAGGTTTTTTACTATTAAAAGCAATTCTGTGCTTAACTTTTATGTGTATGTCATGACAGACTCATACAAGTCTGTCTCTAGGATCAGTATTTAGAAACGTAATAGCTAGCTTTAAACCTTTAAATCTTTGATGGAACAACAAGTACGTTTCTAAAAAGATAGTATAATTTGCTCGTCCCCTCGACAGCATTTGGGAGTTTGACTTTCTCTGTGGAGTCCACTCCTGCATAAACAGTCTTTACCAGTTTTGCCAGTTTGCTCATTGAAAGTGATTTTATGTGAGTTTTCATTAAGTTTTGGTAAGATTTAGCATATTTTTTCTATTTTGATCATTTATGTTTTTTCTTCTATTATTTGGCTCTTGTACCTTGGTCATTCCTTATTGATTTTTTAGAATTCTTTGTAAATAAAGAAAATGAACAGTTCATACATCATATTCATTACAAATGTTTCTTCTCATTCTGTCTTTTTCTTTATTTGTGGTATTTCGTTGTTTTATTTTGTTTTACTTTGCTCTATGGAGATTTTTGACTTTTATGTTATTTGTTTTTTTTCATGCTTAGAAATGTTTCACCACCCTGTGGTTATAAAAACATTCACTCATGTTTTCTTCTGATGCTTTTATATTTTTGCATATTCTCTAAGGCTTTGAGACCATCTGGAATATATTTCAGTAGAAGGAATAGGCTTGATTAAGAAAACTGCTGTGGTAGTACTATAGAGCAAGGATCACCTGTTTTTATAAATGAAGTTTTATTGGAACACAACCACGCCCACTTGTTCTGAGCATATGTCATGCTGCAGTGACCAGAAATCTTATGACCTGGAAGCCTGAAATGTTTACTATCTGGCCTTTACAGAAAAAGTTTGCTGACCTTCTATCAGAGAGCATAGAATAGTGAGAGGTAAGAATGATGGCAGACAAATAGTGGTGGTCAACTGAGAAACGACTTGGGTCTGAACTGAGTCTGTGGTGGGGAAAGAGAAAAAGGTGGCGGGGGGAGGGAGGAGAGAAAAAGAGAGAGAGAGAGAGAGAGAGAGAGAGAGAGAGAGAGAGAGAGAGAGAGAGAAAGAGAAAGAAAAATTAAGGAAATCGAATGAGTAGGACCTTACATAAATGAAGCGGATTGCTGAGGAGACTTAAAATAAGAGCTGAGGGCATGGAGCAGCAGAGAGTTTGAATACCTTCAGGTGAAGCAGGTATTTTCCAGCTCCGTGGGCCCTTTCGTTGTTGATTATTCTAGACTCTGCCCTGCTGTCTGAGAGAGAACATAGTGTGCCATCTTCTGGAGTCAGATTCCCCTGCATTCAAATCCTGGCTTTGGCTAGCTGACTGACCTTGCACAAGTTTTATAATCTCGCTGGGCTCAGTTTACCCATCTGTACACTAGGGAAATAATAGTCCTTCCTTCATAGGGTTGATCTGTGTAATAAGTGACATTTGCAAATGACATAGAAGTGCCTAGTACATGTCAAGAGCTATACACATATTTCTTAAAAAATAAATTTAATACCTGGCTGCCCCCATTGGCATTTGCTGCCCCTGCTCTAGAAACAATTACGGGCTTCTGGAGTAAAAAGCTAGATGAACGGTGGTGTTGAGACCTAAGAGTGTGAATATGGAAGGAAGAAAAGGTTTAAAGCAAAGGTGAGGAGTGCAATATTGGATAAGTGGAATTTGAGTTGCTACTGGCATATCCAGGTAGGTGGCCGTGAAAGACAAGAGCTCAGAGAGAACATTAGAGTGGAAGAAGCAGGGCTGTTCAGCATGGAGTTGGCAGTGAAGTCATGGTAGTCAATGATGTTACCAAGGATCAGTGTGTAGAGTGACCATGTTGATGGTCACCAGAAATTCGGGGTATATCCCCTTTTAAGGATTAGGTAAGGTATCTAATAGACCCTGCGAGAAGTAAATGGTCAGAGGGAGGAAAACAGGAAAAGACTCTGTCACAGAAGCCAAAGCAATAGAACCAGTTCATAAAGGGAAGTGATCTGCACAGTCAAATGCTACAGGTCTCCTGAGAAGCCTGGCTGGTGAGTTATTTGCCAATTAGACAGTCACTATTGACTGGTTACTAAATCAGAGAATCATGATTGCTGTTTCTTCTTAGAGTCTTAAATGAGCTGCTTTAAATAATTCATTTAAAA